TTCTACTTAATATAACAATACACTTGATTAAAGTGCCGAAGTCAAAACTCCTAACTAAAAAAATGCAATTTTTCTTGCCTCATGACAGGGAGGGGTCAAGTTTACCTTTTAGTAAGTACATAAACCAATTATGCTTGTGTGTTAAAAAGAAACAGCTTTGCAACCAGAATGTTAATTAAAACTAATTATGTTACATAAACGTGATGGTACGCTTAATGGGCCTGAACATGCTTTAGATAGAACAGGCAGAATAAGTGGTTATAATTAAGAGCTTTTGACCAACCATTACTTTGCCTCATGGTAGCTCTTGTTCACTGAGATGAGGGGTCTATCTCTCTGAACAAGAAGACCCTCACTCCGTGGGTTAGAACGCCAGACAAGTTCGGGTGGAGCACATCAGCAAGAGTTGGAGCCCCTCTAAGTCTGAATCTCAGATTGTGACATCATGTTCTAAATGCAAGATCATATCATCTACAAGATAGATAGTTTTACTTACTCCTTTTCAATCTGATGCCTTTATTTCATTTTCCTGTCTGATTTCCCTGGCTAGCTCCTCATGTATAATGTTCAATGGAAGTAGCCACAGCACACGTATTTTTGGAATATTGGCCAAGCTATCATATAGACCAGGGGATAAAAGGTCTCGACAAATTGGAAGAGATTTTTATCTTTTCAATCTTTATTAATAAATATTTTCAAGATTTATTTCAATTTTTTCATAGTTAAATTAGATATTTTTGAAAAACCTAGTCAAATAAGAAATTATAAGAGACATTAGACTGTTTTGTTGTCAAAATATAACATCAAAACATGTGAGATGTAACCTAAAGCAGTCATTTAGAAATGAATCTGTAGATTTCAAATGCTCATATTAGAATATGAATCGGTTAAAATCAAAAGTCTGTTTCCAACTTAGGAAGCCAGAAAAAGATGAGCAAATCAAGAAAGTAGAAGGGAAGTAATACTAAAGAAGAGGGGGAAAAAAATCAATAAACTGGAACCCAACCGATACAGAAAATAGTAAAAAGTTGATTTTTGAAAGAGTTTAAATATTTCTGAACCATTAGCAAAACTGATTAAGAAAGAAAAAGAGGTAATCACAAAGTACCCAAATTAATAATATAGGGAATAAAAGAGGATCCACTACAGATTCTACAAACATTAACAGGATAAACATGGAGTGTTATAAATTACTCGAGGCCAAGAGGATTTATAATTCAGATGAAATGGAAAAATTCATTGAAAAGACAACCTATCAAACCTGACACATAATAGAATACAAAACTTAAGTGGGTTTGTATATATTAAATTTATTAAATTTGATTTTTTAAAAGATTTTATTTATTTTTAGAGAGAGGAGAAGGGAGAGAGAAAGGGAGAGAAACATCAGTGTGTGGGTGCCTCTTGCACGCCCCTAATGGGGACCTGGCCCACAACCCAGGCCTGTGCCCTGACTGGGAATCAAACTGGCAACGCTTTGCTTCTCAGGCCAGCACTCAATCCACAGAGCCACACCAGCCAGGGTTAAATTTGATTTTTTTTAAATCTTCACATGCACACACAAAAAATTCACACATGTATGATTTCCGTGTAAATTCTACCAAACACTTTAAGAAAATAAGATGGAAGGAACTGATCAAATATTAACAGATTTCATCATTATTAATGAATAAAAATTTCCTATTCATGGAAAGAAGCTCAGAGATTGAGGCTACAAATCAAAGGCCACTTCTGCTGTATGTGTAGGAGATCAACCTAAAATTAGAAGACAATTAGGGAAAATTAGAATAAAATTAGGGAAACAGCTTATAGGAAAAAAAATTGCAAAAATACAAATTTCTGACACTGCAGAATTCAAACTCAAGGCATCCAACATGTAAAAAGACCTGTTTTTGTACAGTCACTAAGAAAGTTTACCAGTTATACATCTTTATGCACTCCAGCATTGCTTTGAGGGAAATAAAGAAAAACTATTAAATGTTAAGATATATTGACAACTTCACAATCCTATTTGGAAATCTTAATACATTCTAAAATTGAGTCAGTAAGTCCACCTATTGGGGATCTGACTAACTCTTCAGGCCCTGTGAATAGATATATTTAATGAACATGCTTTGTTTCCAGAAAAAAAAAATATCATTTTCAGAATACCATAAACCATCTCAGAAGTAGAGCATATTTATCCCAGTCTAGAATAAAAACAAAATTGTCAAAATATAAATAATAACCATGACCTCGATCAAATCTGTTGAAATTAGAAACAAGAACAGACCAAAAATAATCTTTGTAGAATGTATAAATTAGACTTCCAAATTACTCTTGTATTAAAAAGAAATGGAAATTGAAATTATAGGCCTTTTAGAAAAGAATGACAGTGAGTAGCTGCAAATCAAAGCTGTGGGGTTTGGCTAAAGCAGTAATTATCAGAATATTTAAGTGCTTAAATACATTTATTAGGCAATGCAAAAGATTGGCAATAAGTAACAATGAAGAAAAAGAGCAATATGAGTTTAAGTAAAGAGGAAGGAAAGAATTTTTAAAGTTAAATCAGAAACTAATAATACAGAAAACTATCAGAAAGCATAGAATTTAATAATAACCCCAAACCTTTGAGACATTCAAAAGCATGCAAAGTTTCAAAAGCCTGATTTAAAGATAAAAATGATAAAAATAACATTAAGTACAAGAAGAAAGTACTTCAAATAGGGAGGCTTTTAAATTTTAAGAGACTATTATATAGAATATTTTACATCTGAACATCTAAATAAAATGGATAACTTTATAGGAAAATTATCAAGTTGGTTTAAGAAAAAGAAGGGGTACACATGGCAGCAATGTGACACACTCACTTCTAATCCTAGGTCAGGAACAGTCGTGGATGCAAATGCCAACCATACCACTTAATAGAGATATAGTGTTGGGCACGTCCCCCAGTTTCTCTGGGTTTCATTTTCTCTTTGGTAAAATGAGGTGGAAATATTAACTACTTTCCAAAATTTTTGTGAGGAGCAAATGAACTGTACATACAAAGTCCTTAGACCAGCGCTTGGCCTGTTCTGAATGCTCTGTGGGTGTCAGCTGGTGTCGCTGTATCATCGTGCCATCGCCGTCACCTCATCACATGGTTTTACAGTTGAGATTTACCAAACTTCAATTAGAGATTACTCATTTGTTATGAAACAGTTTCAGGCCTAAGAAAAAGAAAGAATGTTTCTGAACTCAACTTTATGAGGATGGTCTTACCTTGATATTCAAGAGGAACCAGGCAAACATAGAGTCACACAAAACCCATCAGAGCTTATTTTATAAGCATAAAATGGATGAGAAAATGGCAAACAAAAGCTTAGCAGATGACTCACTGTGTCCCTCTTCAGTCCCAGGCTAACCCGAGTGCTCCATACCTCTGAGGCGTGGACTGCCCCATGCTCCCCTCCCTCCTCACTGTCTGGCTAAGCAGGAGGCTCTGAGTGTGTGTGTTGGGGATAAGATGACATTGGGGCAAGTGGTGGTAGCCAGGGGCTCTGTGGCCTCTGACTAGGGTCTAAGGACTGGAGCGATATCTTAAGGAAGAATACTCTAGAAGGTAAGGAGACATACAGCACTTATCTCCACTAGACTGTAAGCAGCCAAAGCAGCCAAAAACATGGGTCACTTCTTATTCATTTTTGTATCATTACAGCCTAACGTGGGCCTGGCGCATGAGACCAGTCAACAATCGAGGTGTATTTGGTGTATAACCACCCTCCTAGCAGAGACTTATTGTTACTCATGAAATGAGAACAAATGTCATTATCTGGCCAGGCACTTGAAAGCACTGTGAATCATATCTAGGAGATAACTCAGTGGCCAACACATCAGTGAGTCACATCAAGTATTGATTTGAAGTTAAGTTTTTGTAGATCTTGCCTGGTATGTAATCCTCTCTGGTAATAGAGTAGGAATCAGAGTGTGTGGGCTGCGTGGGGCCTTCCCGTCATGACGGTAGTGGGGGAGGGTGTGAATCAGTTAGTTCACTGATTTCTTGCTTTGTTTCCCTCCTCACAAGGATCACAGTGGTTCACCTGCTGGTAATTTCAGCTTATGGCTGATTTGCATATGGATCTTCCAATCTGTCGACATTTGGGTTGCTGCTACTCTTCTCAGTATCTTCTGTATTTTCATTATCTCTAGCCAATATCATCAGCAAGAGATTCACTGTGGTCTCGGAAACATCTGACCTCTCCTTAGATGTTCCGTTTGAATTTCATCTTTGATTATTCATTGTGGTTCAGCTCTTTTGATACCCACAAAACCCTTTTATCTTTAGATTAAATGAAGTCTTAAGAGGTTTTACCTTTTTAATTATTTAAAGGACCTCTCAGAAACGCATACAGTTCCCATAAATCCTTGTAACCAGTCGGTAGCACAGGTATAACTCACGGCACATTTTTCACATGACCATAGAAAGCTTGCATGTTCATCGATTCACACAGGAATGTAAGGCCATGGCCCAGGAAACCTTGGGAAAACCTTAGGAAACATTTAGATGCATTTATGTTGGAAGAAGTTGAATCTGATTGGATTGTAGCGAGGAGGGTGAAAACTCCATGCTTCCTGAGTGAACAGGCATGTGGTCTTTAAGGACATCAGATGAGGCTGCTCTGCAGGCAGCAGCTGCCAAAACGTCAGTGGCAGGGGAGGGGGTACTGAGATCAAAAGTGCTAGTTGCATAGGCAAGTCCTAAAAAGATAATTTTTCTTTAATAAAAAACCGTTGTTTATATGGCAATTTTAACAAGTCATCATAACAAGTCGATCAGACACAACCGTGGGCACACTTTTCTACGGACGCATTTTTGGTTTTGTTTTAACTTCATCTCATTTCTCAAAAAATTAGTGAGGATTGAAGTTCTCATTTAATTAAGTCCTAATTAAGCTGAAATGATTACTGATAGCTTTCCAGGGTAAGAGAAGCTCTCCCCACACTAAGCTGTTTTTGTTTGACTGTCTGTTTCTTGGTAGAACATCCATTCTCGGGATCTCCTTTGGAGCTGCATTTCTGCTGCTGGCCTTTATCCTTTTCCTCTGCTTCGCTGGACAGCTTTTGGTAGGTATTTCAAATACGGGATGTCTTTGAAAATTGTGCTCATTAAATGAAAACTGATTTCCTAAAACGGGGAGCTGGTTGACTTATCATTCTAAAGGTACAGATCCCAGTAAGCAAACACGTATTCCTCTTGTAAACTGCCCAGAATACAAACTGGGGCAGTTCATGCGCAACCAAGACACTAATATGAAGATTATTTGAGATGCTGGATGTCACATCATAAAATTATAATTATGTCTATTTGTTTCTGTCAGCATTTTGTATCATCTCCTCTATATTTTCAGCGTATTTATAACTGCAACTACAAGTATAATAGGAGGGTTTTATTGTACAGGGGAATTAAAATTCAAACCAAATAGATCTTAGATCTTTTATATCCATTTTTCCAGATGTTAAATCTTGGAACAACAAAATAAATAAATGTACAAATATATCTTTTTAGTGTCTTTAATGTAAGGCAATCATTGTAAGCTCTTGTGGTTTAAATGCTAGGTCTGGATATAAGGAGTAAATCTACATGTATTCTTGAGTCTAAAGCAGCGAGAGCATTGTAGAAAGGCCAGCCGTGGGCTGGCAGTCACAGAAGAGAGCCGATACCTCATTTCATTCATGGCACATGAGCCAGGCTTTGAGCAGAGTTCCTAGGCAGCCTCTGGCAACACTTTCAAGATTTTTGTTAATCCAAATTTTAACGTTACAAACAATTCATTATACAAAATAAGTAGGAATAACCTTTAAAGTATCTGTCAACGAATGCATTTTATGTGATGTCTGAGGTTAAGGAAATTTCATATTTTTGAAATCATGATTTCTCCTTCCAGTTAGACTTTGACAAGCCCATGTAGATGACACCAACAAGGAGGGAGATCCAGAGCCTGCGGGCCTCCTGGCCACTTCCCGGGGTTGTGCTGCCCCCTCTAAGGATGTACTGTGGCTTCGATGAGAGCACTTTTCTCGTTCTGCGTGCTTTTATACTTTTCATCTGTTTCTTCGTTGTAATATCATTTTGCTTTTTAAAAGACATACTATTACTGCCAGCAATATGAGTACTGTGACAGAATGGCCTCTTAGGACTCTGAGAGCAATAGTTCTGGAGCCCCGGATGTCCACAGTTTTCCAGTCTGTGTTGAAATCTGTTGCCCAACAAGCGCTAGGATTCTGAAGCATGTCTCTGCCTCCGGTGTTGTCCTTCTCTGCCATGTGCCTTTGCAAGCATTTGTGGGTTTTGTTTGCTGTATCATAGTTTAGATTATTTAAATTGGATTAGAAACTCTTCCACAAGTGGGGCTGTGGTTTCTAATTTCCTGTAATGCACATGGCAGTTCTTAAAATTCCCCTGAAGATACTGTAGGTTGTAGAGAAGGGAGGACTGAGTGAATACTGATCCATGGGGAAATGCTTAGGATGTGAAGAAACCTGATTTCCCATGTTCAGATTTTCCTTGGGGTGAAAGTCCTTGAGCTCCCCCCTGTGTCTTCCTGACCTCCAGAAGGATTTTGAAGCCCATTTCTGAGGATTTTAAACGAGAAACTATTGTCTGTGGTTCCGTTGGAAATCCAAACTTTGGTCTAAAGCAGCTTATGTCATTGTGCCTTTGTGCTGTTAGCTATGTTTCCCATTTTCTAGTCCAAGCAATCCAGTTGTAGAGTTGGGGACTGTGGTGCATATTTAGGGTTTCATGGTGCATATTTAAAGTTTTAGGGTTTTTAGGGTTGACTTGTTTTCTTTCCACTAAGTTTCTGTAGAAAAGGAATGTAGAGCCAGAGGCTGGAGAATGACTCTCCAGAGCACCTTGCTGCCTGTGTGGGAATGCTCTGCTCTCATGAAATGTCTTTCCTCTCAGCCTTGGTATAATCCAGCCTCACTGTGGAATCTTTCATGGCTTTGGGTCCCTCCTGTACCTGACCCGTGGCCCTCAGGGCAATCAAGATCCCACATGCGTAGTGCTTGCTTCTTCCAATTCCCAGGGGCTTTTCAAGACCCTGACATCCACAAACCAGATGCTTGGGAGTTCTTTTTAACTCTGTTGTCTCAAAGAAAAATTTCAAGGCTGCAGATGAAATGGTACCTGTTTCCTTTGCACCAGAACCTCGTATTTTGGCAAAATGTTCAAGAAGACAAGACTTAAATACAACTTGGTCTTTCTAAACTTCCATTAGTAGGTTCCGTGAATGAGTCTCCCCCCAGTGGCCAGCTGGAATCCGTAATCCAGATGTAATTCTGCTAAAAGTCGAGGTGGAATTCTTCTCATTCCAACAAGATGTCTTCTGTTTCTGTTTTGTTGTGTTTTGTTTTCCACTGCGTAAGGATTTTTTTAAACTGCCAACATTAAACATATTAATGCACAGCCAATCTAAGAAAGTTTTAAATATGCTTTCTATCCCACCCTGTGATATGTATATCACAAATACTCCACATTGGTCATGGAAAATGTTTTGCTTCATCCTAATTGATCATTCGCTCGCATCTTGAAAACCTGCCAAATTCTGTGAGGTTGTATTAGCCTTTGCATTTAATTATGGATTAAATACTGAGTTTATGAAAAAGTACTTAATAGCCCAGACTCATCTTCTAGCAAAATGTTAACCTTCTGAAAATTTAAATGCCAAAGACAGTGTTGATACTAATACTGATATTAAATATCAGTGTAAATGAAGAATTAAAGTAAAATACTTTTATATAAAGGAGGTGGAGAAAAGGTAAGCCTGACTGATGCTTTTCTGCCAAGAGCCTTACCTTTGTTACACAAAACATGCAACACAAGTAAATAAAATTGCTGAGCCATTGTACAGCTGGGTTTGATTTTTTTTAAAGTGCAGGAAAATAAAAATGGGCAAAAATAAGAGTGCTAATGAAATGCAATTTTTTTCTTGTTGATAAAAAATCATACAGGTATCTGTTCAGTGACAGATTCTGGAGAAAAAGGCCAGGGAATTTATATATTATCATTATTAGGATGAGCAGCCCATTCTGCTGCCCACCCTGCCCCCTCCCATGGGCTAACACAGCTTTGTTCTCCCTGACCCGCCCCCATGTTGCTTTCCTCTCAGTTCTTGCCCATGTGGGCGAGCTCGCTTGCATTCCTAGAAGCCTTTTCAGAAACTGTCCCAGCTCTTGTGATGGGTCCTTCTTTGAGCTCCCTGGGATTTAGAGTCTGTGCCACATAATTTGACACTGAATTACATAACAGCTCATTTGAAACACCCCTCCTTTTGTGAGTGTTTTCTCCCTTTATATATAATAGGTTCCTTGTGACAAGAATTGTTCCCTGCACTTGCTTCTTGTCTCCCAGTGAACCCAGCAGAAAGCCGACCACAGAAATACGTTCGATAGGCATGTACTAAGTCAGCGACACTAGACCCCTAGCGTTTCTGTGAGGTTCTGTTTATTGCTTCCTCCCCTCAGCAGGTTCCATGGAGCACCTCCCTTGTGACGCAGTGCCTTCGTTCTCAGGCAGAGTTGGCATGCCCTGAGAGCCCATGTTAATTCCTCCTTCTGTGCTTAAATGAATGTGTGAACCAGTGAACAGTGGAGAGCCAGTGGCCTCCATCTTGCTGCCATGAAATTCTTTCTTAAATGTGCCATGATTCCTTCACTCCAACATACCGACTACTCGGTTGAAAATAATCTCCTGACCTTCCTTAACCAATTCTGTAGAACCCACCTTTCAGACCACTAGTGCCTGCTGGTTAGGCTTCCTATTTTGTATTCTTCTTTTTATTTTTTTTTAAGTGGAAAGATCCGCAGTGGGTTTGCTTCAGCCCTGTTTTGTTCTTTTTAGTATGTCAGGCACTTGAAACACAAGATAAATGTTCATTATCAGTTAGCTTGAAGGAATGTTGGGTCGCACCCAAATGCAACCTCCTCGCACCGCTGCACAGAAAGCGTCCCTCCCCGGTCCTCGCAGGCCCTCAGCTTCCTTCCTGCTGGCTGCTCCAAATTCAGCTCGCAGCCGCTGCATCCCTGCTCTAAATTCTGGCAAGCCCATGGCCAGGGGACATCCTAGTGCATTACCCCGGTGTCCTCTCTTGTCATGTCTCATTAGGCAACTTGGTGTTGGTGCTTCCATGAGGTACTTAGCTTTCTACAGCAGAGGCCAGTTAGCATTTCAGAATTGATAAACCCAAGAGCTGAAACAGACATATCCTTGTTCAGTCTCACATTTTGTGGATGAGGAACCCAGGACTCAGAAGTGCCGTGTGCTTCAGTGAGTTTCCATTTCCAATCATTCAGAAGTTTCCACCCATGAAAAATAATGCAGAAGGAGATGTAAGCAGATCTCTTGAGGATGAAAATGGAGACTTAGGAGCTGACTTGTGAGTGTGGTAACCATAGGACCTGCAAAGGTGTCCTGCCCTTGGTTACGATCTTTTAGCATCAGTTTAAACTGTCCATGACAGGCAAGATCCCCATTAATAGCTCTGTATCCAACCTCACTGCAGTTTATAAACAACAAAGTATATCATATCAAAATGATGTTTACTTTGCTAGACATTTTATATACTCTTGCTCATGTGTCCTCACAAGAGTCCTTGGAAGGAATGCACATTATACGATTAATGAGACAGAAGCTTGTAGAGGCCACAAACTTGCCCTGTAATGTAGAGCAAGTAGGTGCTGGAGTCAGAATTGGAATCAAGGCTGAGAATTCTTATAATTGCTTGAAGGCAGGTTCCAGGATGCTGGGTTGTGTGTGGAGAAAGTCGCCAGCAGACAAGTGCCCAGCACTAGGCAGGGATGTCCACATTCACGGTCACTGGCCAGCTTGGCATTGAGGATGCCTTATGGAAACTGCTAAGCATTTGTTGGTAAAAATCACATTGGGAAGTCAAGATAACTTTATATAGGACCTCATTTGTATTCTCCTATAGTCTAATATCCTAAGACACATTTTTCAGCTATTTGCCCATTTGATTTACAACTGAATTCTGGGGAAAGTGTAACTCCACCTTAAAAGACATTTGGTAAAATAAAAAGAAAAAAAAAGTTAACTTGTAAGT